CCCCGACCCGTCCTGCGCCACCCCTCCTTCCCAGAGAGCAGCCGTCCTCAGCTGGAAGGATGCCCGAGGTTCTGGCCGACACCTAGGGAACCTGGTCCAGGGACTCTAAGCAGTAAGGAGGGAAGAAAGGAGGGAAGCAGCGGTGCGGAGAAGGGGGGGTTGGGAGGGCTGGGCGGCACCGAGGTGGGGGAGAGGACATTGCCTGGAGCACCTCCTCTGTGTTAGGAACTGAGTGTGTCACTCTGAGGAGGGGATGAGGAGACTGTTAGCAAGGTGGATGTCATCAGGAAGGCAAGCCTTCAGCTGTGATAGCATCTTAATATAGCCTGGCAGGTGCCTGTGGCTGGCGGGTGGCAGGCAGCCCTGAGGGGCAGGCCCAGAATTAGCAGCTACATCATACCCGTGGGATGTGCTGGGAGGGGCCACCCTCTCACAGGCTTTATTTGGACCTTTCCTGCTGCCCTGTGCGTGGCCACCACTACCCTGGGGAGGGAGCCCCATGCCAGCAGCGTTCCCTTCCACACTTGGATCCTTGCCACTTCCTCTGGCAGGCAGAGCCCCACCTCCGTTTTGCTGGCCCACAGGGGGCAAGGAGGGAGGCCACTCTGTCTAGCTTGGAGCTCCAGGGGTTAATTCCCAGGCTGCTGAAGGGCCAGGGGTTTATGTTGATGGATATGGCCACTTTGTCCTGGGGAGCCCAGGGTTCCCTCTCCCTAGCCTGCCTCGTCAGCCAATGAAGCAGCAGGGACTTGGGGCAGGACTAATAAGGCTGAGAGGGAAAGAAGGGGGGGCCCCCGGAGCTGCAGACTTCTCCAAGGCCTGAACTTCCAGAGGGAGAGCGGCAGAGAGAGGCGGGGGAAACGGGAGACCCAGCCGTAGCGGGGCGCCTCTCTCCTGGAGTTAGTGTGGAGCATCTCCTCCACCTCCAGGCCCCTAGACACGGACAGGGGTCCAGCATCGGAACAGAGCACTGGCCTCTTACCTTCCTCCCCATACTGGTCATACAGGCCCCGTTTCTTTGGGTCACTCAGCACATCATAGGCCTCAGCAATCTCTTTGAACTTCTCCTCGGCATTGGGCTCTTTGTTCTTGTCCGGGTGGTACTTTAAGGCCATCTTCCGATAGGCTCTCTTGATCTCATCCTCGTTGGCCCCCGAAGGGATCCCAAGAATCTTGTAATAATCCTTTCCCATCACAGCCACAGGCCCGGCACTGGTCTCCTTGTTCCTGAAAGAAACCCAGGGCCAGCCCCTGATTCCCCTGCCCTCTTCTGCCTTAGCCCTGCTCCTGCTGACCCTGCAGTCCCTAAGGGACTCACTGGGTGACCTTCAGCAGGTCACGCCTGTTCTCCGACCCTCTCTTTTCCCATCTGTAAAATGAGAAGCCCGGACTAGAAGGGCTCTTCCAGCTCTGACATCCCGGGGTTCTGTGGTTCTTTCTCGGCTCCTGGCTTTTCCCAGCAGGAAGCTGGAGGTGTGGCCTCCTTCTGGGGTCTTGGGCCAGCCTGAGGACCCTGACGCCCTGCCGAGTGAGGCAGCGACCGCGGACTGACAGATGCACACAGTGGCTGCTGAAGATCAGTGCTGGGTGAGGTCACTCGAGCATCGCGTCCTCCTACGCCACGCCACCGGCATGGTGCCCGGGCTGAGGGCAGCTGAGGCAGTGCTTCAGGACTGGGGACAGACCTGGGGACTCAGCCAGCTGGCCTGGCCAGCCAGGCTGAGCCAGGGTGTGGGTGGCCGGAGTCCCCTCTGCACTGGAGACCCCAGGCCTTTCTGCTCCCCTACCCCACCCCTCACATGTGACTCAGAAGGTGACTCACAGCCTTTGGAAAATGCTGCTTCTAATTCCCCCATTAGTGGGGTGACACTGTCCTTCCCTGACTAGGGTGACAGTTCACTCATCTCCCAATGCCCAAGGACCAGTGCTGGTGAACAAAAGCATCCTAAGGGGAGGGCCTTTTTAAACTCTAGTTATTAGGGAACAAGTGGGTGTTAAGCACATCTGCTTAACACCTTCCTCGTCAGTCCCTTCCTCTCATCTGCCTCCAGGGGTTCCGGATCCTCTGGGCCCTTCCAGGCCAGGCTCAAGGGCATCAACATGGGAAGGAGAAAAGGGGGGGGGGGCTCCAGTTCTTCCCACCTCACTTCCCTCCCCCCGTGTGGTGGGAGTGGATCTGAAGGAAGGGGGCTTCCCTCTGCTGGTACTATTTGGGGGAATGGCCAGAAGCCACTCTCCAGCCTGTCTGAGTTTCTGGCCAGTCCTGCCAAAGCGGGGAGAACAGAGGCTTTCTAGCAACGTCCTGGGCTGGCAGCCACAGGTTAGGCCGGTCTTTTTGCCTCTGCTTCCCAGCGGTGAGGTGGTCGGGGCGCCCTGTAGGCGTCAGGGCTGTAACTGGGTAAGAGGGAGGCCTCAGGGCTCCTGCCCCCACGGCTGAGTTGACTCACTGTTCTGGGAGTCACTCGCTGACGAAGGGAAGGCTCTACAAAGCCGGGGAGTCTCCCATCTCCCCCACCAGTATGTCATGCCTGGTGGGGGAGGCTAAGGTGGGGGGCAGAGAAGAAAGTGCATGTGGAGGAGGGCAACCATTTTCCAAGCAGAGTAAAGGCCAGCTGAGAGGGAGGAGGTGGGTGGGCGCAGTCCTGCCTCAGCCCACGCTTGCTTTGCCCTGGGACTGGAAGGAACCCTGGTACACCAAGCCGCTGCCCCTGGGACCTGTAGCAGCTTCCGGGCACAGGCTCCCCCTCCTGCCCACTGTCCTGCTGTCCTGGCATCACCTCTTCACCTGGTCAGCTTCCTCCCTGGCATCCACCTGCCCGCTGCCCCAGACCCTCACCTTCTGCCAGCGCGTGCACGCGCACGCACGCACGCACGCACACAGGGCATGCTCTCAGGGACTCCCTCCTTGCCTCCCTCCCCCCTCCGTTCCCCACAAGCCATGTGTTGGAATGACAAAGGAACCACAGCGTGGCACTGTCTCTGAGGAGAAAAATGCACACGAACAGTGGGGAGAGGTGGCTGGTAACGACACGGGCAGGGCTGAAATGGAACGGGTTCCCACGAGGCACCGTTGCCATATGGGAGCAGATGTCTGCGAGATGGGTTTTGACACACAGAGATGAAGGATGAGGTGGAGGGGGTTCTTGCATGTCACAGAGATGACACGAGGATGAGGTGCAGCAGGCGCAGGTGCACCCGAGGCTGATGGAGAAGTTGACTCGGTGTGACGGCGCCTTCTCCCAAGGGACTTACCGAAACTTCACAAACCCATTCAGCGTCCACGCTCGAAGTTTTAAGGGTTCCAGCTGAATTTTAAACATCAAGCTGGCTAAGAAGTCTTCTCCCCAGCGGTGCGCGAAGCTCCGGAAGGCGCCTCGGGCCTCCTGCAGTGGGGGTGCTGCTGGGGGTGGGCAGGAGAGCGCGGAGCGCTTAAACATGCCCCGCCGAGCCCCTCACCGCCGGCGCCCCGCGGGAGCCTGCCCGGAGAGCCGCGGCGCTCGGAGGCCCTGGCCCAGCAAGGCCTGCCCGGTCCGGCAGCAGTCGGGCCGGAGCCCCAGGCGTGGAGGGCAGGGCTCGCGGCCAGGGGCCACCTGCGCTCAGGTGCAGCGCTGGCTGGTTGGCTGGGCGGGACTCTGTGCCAGGGAGGCTGGCAGTGCCCGCACGTGCTCGTGAGAGGAAGCGTGTGTCCCTGTGGCCGGTGTGACTGTGTGCGAGGGCCCGAGAGGCACTGAGCCGCTCCGGGGAAGTTCCGACCCCAAACCCCCAACCCGCTCAATGAAGTCACTGGCGGGAGCCTCCTCCCTCGCAGAGGGCGGGGCGCGGCGCGGCCGGGACAAAAGGCGGCCCGGGGAGGGGGTCGGTGATGTCACCGGCGGGGCGGCTCGGGGACGCCTCCGCCCCGCGGCGCCCAGGGCGACCCCTCCGCCCCCGG